GGGGGGCTTCCTGCCAGAGTGCCGCAAAGCTGCGGGCGCTGCAGGTTTAATCGCTCCGCAATGCCCGCTTTCCCAGATGGTTCTACCCCAAACACGAGGACCGGTTCTTGGGCCGGCTGAACTGGTTTGCCACTCGGCCGAGAAACCCCAAACAGCCCTTGTTTGTTTTCCAGCCTTTGGTCTACATTTGGTGGGGGTGGGGGTGCCTTTGTACCAAAGGGGGGGTGGGGAGTGGGGGGGGCGAGGCTTGTCTGGCAAAGAGGAAGGGTGGGCACCATGGAGCCGGAGGGCGGCTTTATTCGGGAGAGGCCTCCGGATGCTGATGCTGCGGCCTTTTTTCTGTCTCTCCCCTCAGGGTGGACAAGACCACTGTCTACCCCTGGAGCCTGCGGTGAGTACCAAATGCCGGCACGGGGCACGCCGGGAGCCCCGCTTGGCTCTGGGGGGGGAGGAGGGAGGGAGCAGCATCGCCCTGGGCTTTCAGTCGGAAAGCTGGCACAAGCTGGCATCGGGATTTTTTTTTTGCCCTTGGCCAGGCTTAGGAGGGCAGTGCCAGGGCATGGGGTTCCTCTGGCCTCTGGTGCCCAGGAGACACGGCTGGGTTGGTACATCCACCCTCCAGGAAAGACCCCAAGCCTTCCCCCCCCCCTTGTGCAGAGGCATCTATTCCAAATTACAGGATGCTTTTGTTATCTTCTGCTGGAGATGCATCTCTTTCTCTCTCTCTCTCTTTCTCTCTCTCTTTCCCTTTCTCTCTCTCTCCCTCTCTCTCCCTTCCTCTCCCTCTCTCTCTCTTTCCCTCTCTCTCTTTCCCTTTCTCTCTCTCTCTCCCTCTCTCTCCCTTCCTCTCCCTCTCTCTCTCTCTTTCCCCTTCTCTCTGTCTCTCTCTCTTTGTCTCTCTCCCCCTCTCTCTCCCTCCCTCTCCCTGTCTCTCTCTCTCTTTTCCTTTCTCTTTGTCTCTCTCCCCCTCTCTCTCCCTCCCTCTCTCTCCCCCCCCCTCTCTCTCTTTCCCTTTCTCTGTCTCTCTCTCTGTGTTTCTCCCCCCTTTCTCCCTACCTCTCTCTCTCTCTCTCTTTCCCTTTCTCTCTCTCTCTCCCTCCCTCTTTCCCTTTCTCTCTCTCTCTCTGTCTCTCCCCCCTCTCTCCCTCCCTCTCTATCTCTCTCTCCCTCCCTCTCTCTCTCTCTTTCCCTTTCTCTCTCTCTCCCTCTCCCTTCCTCTCCCTCTCTCTCTTTCCCCTTCTCTCTGTCTCTCTCTCTTTGTCTCTCTCCCCCTCTCTCTCCCTCCCTCTCCCTGTCTCTCTCTCTTTTCCTTTCTCTTTGTCTCTCTCCCCCTCTCTCTCCCTCCCTCTCTCTCCCCCCTCTCTCTCTTTCCCTTTCTCTGTCTCTCTCTCTGTGTTTCTCCCCCCTTTCTCCCTACCTCTCTCTCTCTCTCTTTCCCTTTCTCTCTCTCTCCCTCCCTCTTTCCCTTTCTCTCTCTCTCTCTGTCTCTCTGTGTCTCCCCCCTCTATCTCTCCCTCCCTCCCTCTCTCTCTCTCTTTCCCTTTCTCTCTCTCTCTCTCTCCCCCTCCCTCCCCCGCAATTTCAAGTATCTCCTGGCCTCCCCTCCTCTATTTTGCATTTGGGGGGGAAGGAGAATAGGCCCACTCCCTCTCTGAATAATTGAGGGTGCCGGGACCCTCTGCCCCCACCCCGACTCCTGAGGGAACAATCAAAGCCTCTCAGGGTCCTCTCTAGCACAGCGCCCACCCCAGAATGTTGGCAGGATGCCCTTGGCAGTCTCGCGTGAAGGAAGCCTCCGTTGCTTGGCCTGGAAGGGGCCTGGAAGGCTTCCCTCATAACCAGCAATGCTCGTCTCCCGCTAGACTGGGGGATTCTGGGAGTTGAAGCCCACCCCTCTCAAAGTAGCCAAGATTTAAAAACGCTGAGACTAGAATAGAATATGGAAAGAATAGGAATAGAATAGGAATAGAATAGGAATAGAATAGAATAGAATAGAATAGAATAGAATAGAATAGAATAGAATAGAATAGAATAGAATAGAACAGTGGTGGCGAACCTATGGCACGGGTGCCAGAGGCGGTACTCAGAGCCCTCTCTATGGGCCCACGCGCTGTCGCCCCAGTCCTAGGCCTTCAGCTGGGTTTTATAAAACCTTTTCGCTTTAGGCCTCTGCCGCCGTGTGCAAAAAAAAAAAAAAAAAGGTTCAATCAGTCAATTTCAGCTTCTCGTGGGAAAAAACAATCTTGCAAAGTTGGAATTGATTGATTGAACTTTTTAGTCCCACCCAGTCTGCCGTTACCACCACAGCCACGCCCACCCAATGGGCCACGCCAAGCCAATGGGTCACACCCACCTGGCACCCGACGATGCATAAGTGGGTTTTGGGTTGCAGTTTGGGCACTCAGTCTCTAAAAGGTTCGCCATCACTGGAATAGAATTAGAGTATAGTAGAATAGAATGTAGAATGGAATATGGAAAGAATAGAATATAGAATAGAATAGAATAGAATAGAATAGAATAGAATAGAATAGAATATAGAATAGAACAGAATATAGAATATAAAATAGAATATGGAAAGAATAGAATAGAATATAGAATGGAATGGAATGGAATGGAATAGAATAGAATATATAATAGAACAGAATATAGAATATAGAATATAGACTAGACTATGGAAAGAATAGAATAGAATAGAATAATAATAATAATAATAATAATAATAATAATAATAATAATAATAATAATAATAATAATAATAATAATAATAATAATAATAATAATAATAATAATAATAAAGTTGGAAGGGACCTTGGAGGTCTTCTAGTCCAGCCCCCTGCTCAGGCAGGAGGACCTACCGGTATATACCATCTCAGAAAAGTGACTGTCCAGCCTCTTCTTTAAAACAGAAACTATTTATTTATTATCGTGGTTTTTAGTATCGCCTGTTCACCGCCCTGAGTCCCGCAAGGGAGATAGGGCGGTATATAAATTTAATGAATGAATGAATGAATGAATGAATGAATAAATAAATAAATAAATAAATAAATAAATAAATAAATAAATAAATAAAAAATCTCCGGTGATTTCTGGAGGCAAGCTGTTCCACTGGTTAATTATCCTCACTATCGGGAAGTTTCCAGCTCATGTCCTTCTATTGCTGCCCACTGGTGCAAAGGTGGTATCTGCACCTCATTCATTCTCTCAGCCCCCCTCCCCTAGACTGGGGGAGGGGCTCAGGGCTTAGAAGACCCCTTTAAAAGGAGGAGGGGCCCAAATCCAAGCTGCATCTCAGCTGTTAGGATTAAGCCCCGCCCACTTCTTTGGGGAGGGGGGTCAGGAGGGAGCGCCTCTCTGGTGGCCACCTGTGGGAATGCCTGACCCCCTTTTAGCAAGACAGAGAATTGGGGCTGGGGGAATTTTTTCCCTAAACCTGCCCCTGTTTTTGCAGGGGTACCCTGGTTGGGGAAAGGGGAGAGCAAAGCTGCAGCGCTCGGACCCCCATCCTCATGGAGGGGGGGGTCTTCCTGCCAGGGGCCACATTCAGAGCCTTCTGGGGGCCGGGAGGGAGGGTCCCCGTGCCCGGAGCATCCCTGGTGCGTTCGAAGCGCCAGGTGGCTCCGGGGTGGGAGGCATCAGCTGCCGTGACAGCCATATTTACCCCCCCCCTCCTCTGCGCAGGCGCCTTGAGATGGCACACAATTTGTCACCCGCCTGGCGTGATTCCCAGAGAATAATTGCCAATCAATTATCTGGTTATCTGGTTGCTATAGAAACTTTATAGACCGGCTGGGCTGCGTTCCTTTCGGCCGCCTCAGCCAGGGCAGCCCATCCCACCTCGGCGTGGAGCCTCTGAGCATACACCGAGTGTCTCCCTGGCCCACCTGGTGCCGATTAGCATCTGCATCCCGTTGCCAGGGTTACCTGGAGGGATGGGGAGGAGGGGCTGGCTGGGGAGGGGTCTCTGCCGGCCACTGGGAGCTGAGGGCGTGGCATCAAAAGGCACAAGAGAGAGAGTAAGCAGCTCTCTGCCCATGAAGGGGTCTCTTTGCCCAAAGGAAGACCCCCCCCAGGTAGCTAACTGTGCAGGGACCCCTGGTGTGTCCCGGCTGAGTGGTGAGGGGCTCTTTCTGGCCCCCAACCCCCCTTCCCTGCATTAAATTTCCCCTGCAGACCAAGGGAAGGGGCTTCGGATCATCAACAGACCACCCCCCAAATAAAGCATCTGGGTTAGGGCGTTTTAGCTGCGTGGATCTTTTTCTACAACCTTGTCTTTTCTCTCCCCCCCCCAGGAAAAATAATGGGCTCCCCCACTCCTCCTCCAGCGGACCCCTAGAGCTGCCCAGAACCTCTCCCCCTTCGTACCCCACAGTTCTCCATCCCAAGGTAAGAGTGAAGATGGCTGCATTGGGGGAGGGCACTGGGGGGCAGCTGTGGCTTCCCGCCCATGTTCCCGAAAGTCTGGGTCCTAAAGACGCCCCAGAACTGGAGGGGGGCGGGGGGCTGTGGGAAGTCCCCTCCGTGATCCCCCCCTTCTGCAGCTGAGCTGACTCAACAACCACTCTTAGCTTTCTAACACCCCTGCAGGGTAGGCCTTCTGCCTCTGAGGTTGGGAGGGTCCCCAATTGGCCCAGAGGGCATGACCAGAACCGGGGAGGGCGCCTGGAGGCACTTCCTGAGGGCGAGAGCCAGCGGAACAGCCTGCCTCATGAAGGGGCTGGCCAGCCAATCTTCTCCAGATTAAAAGGCTTTGGCGGGGGGGGGGGGGGAGGACCCTTCCCTGCTTCCCTCCCCTCCCGTTCCTCTTGCAGGATCTGGGGCTGGCATCCCACTGCCTGGGCAGAAGTTTGGGTGGGGGGGACCCCGCTGGGCATTTGGTGAAGCCGCTGTGCTTGCAAGTGGGGAAGGTTTGGGGGGGGCCATGCTGGGCAACTGCTCTCGCAGGATGGATGCCCACTGCGAGAGGGAGGGAGGGAGAGCGGGTTGGCAGGGCAACGTGCCTGCCTGCCAGTGGATCCCTGCAGATCCCTGCAGATCAGCTCATCTCCCTAGCCAGGCCGGCAGGACGGACGGAAGCCACCCCCTCATCTGACTTTTCACATGGACGCCGTCCCCCCCCAAGCGCACCCCTGTCGGATGCTGCCCCCCTACCCCATAAAGTTGGGCAGCTGGAGTTTAGGAAGGGAGACAGAACAGTGGGCAGAGAGCCCCCCCCTCCCTCAACCTGCAGGACCCCAAGAGAAGCGATGGAGGGCCAATTAAAGGAACTTTTTTTCTTTCTCTTTAATTCAGCAGCCAAGTCCTAGCATTATGGGGAGGGGGCTCTTCTGTGGCCCCTCTGTGGCTGCAGCTCCCCCCTCAATGCTGTTTCGCCTTTGCCAGTTTCCTGTGGGGAGGGGGCTGCTCCTCCTGTGGGCTCCCTTCCATGGGGAGGGGGGGAAGAATCATCACCATCTTCACCAAAATTTCTACTCCAGCTTCCGGGAAAGATTTGGTCCCCTCTCCACTGGGCAGCCCCCTTCCTCTATTCATCCCCAGTTGCCATGGTGACCCTCTGGGCCCCCTCCTCCCGCCACCCCCCCCTCCAGGAAGACCTGCCTCCTCCCGGGCCCGGCCACCTGGCCGGCACCCAATAGCGGCAGGGGCAGATGCCAGGCGTGTGTGCACCTCGCCCCTCCCTCCCTCCCTCCCTCCCTCCCCCCCTTCAGAGGAAGGACCGACCTGCCGGAGGTGGTGCTGCTCCCTCCTCCCTCCCTCCCTCTGCCCCCCCTCCCCTGCAGCGCGTGGGGAGAAGGATGTGATCCGACCCACCCTGTGTAGGGAGAGGAGAGCCAATGGCGGATCCCCCTCCAAAGCCCCCCCAGGGGAGGGGGGCTGGCGAGGACGCGGGCTGGGGCGTGAGTAGGAGCCGC